TGGGTTTTGTTACCAATGCCTTTTGTAAGGAAGTATATTATGCTAATGTAGTTCATAGGTCAAATTTTCTAAAAAAAACTGTGTAGCTATAAACTACAATAAATAGAGCAATTATAATTGTCTATTCCCACAGACCGTAATCATTTATAAAATACAGCTTAACGAATTTGTGACATCATAAAAACCTGATTTTTGATAATAAATGTTCCCGCTAGTAAATTAATGTAAAGAATACTAAACATACAAGATAGGAAAACGGCAATTTGTACCATATCAATCCTATTTAATAATGTTCTTACAGACAGATCAGAAGCACTATGATTTGGGGTACATAACTCTATTTTCGGAATCTTTACATTGATATTGGATGTAAGGAGTAAGAAATGCCTTAGCGTGTGTATTTATTATCACAAGGTAGCTATGTACAAGATTTAAAGAAGGAGAAACGAGAATGATAGCGATAGATGGATTATGTACACATAAGCTAATTAATGCAACCATAATAATATTATTACAGCGAATTTATCTGCCGGTGCACGTACAGTGTAGAGTAGACGGTCAGAATTTTTCTGCGTTATTAATTTTTTTTCGTCTCACATTACGTTTTATGTTTTCAATGTTTGTCAGAAGAGTATGAATGTGAAAGTGAACATGATAATGATGATGGGATGCGGGCAGCACAGGACCGGTTGCTTTGGCTAACCTCGTGGGAGGCCTCTGTCCAGCAGTGGACGTGTTTCGGCTGAGATGATGAAATCGGTATTTGCACTTCGATTTAGGCTCTGCAATCCTTTTCTTAACATTTCGGTTTAACAGATATCGTAAATTGATTAAATAGCGTAAGTCTGCAGTATTTACCTACCATAGTATAAAACTATATAATATTGCGCTAAAGTTCTAGTTTACCAAAAGATGATGAAATATTATATGCGATGAATGATGAAAGAATAATATTTAGATACATCCGGTATTTAGTAGCTCTTCTCCGTAACCTGTGATTCTGTGAAACATAACGCACAAACAAGCCGAGTGGCTAATATGACTGTATGCTTCCCTAACACATTCAGAGTGATGTTTGTGATTTTGGAATATACGATACACTTGAAATGAAATCATTGTACATGAAATAATCTTTGAGATAATAGTAAACAATCTATATTAATAAGCGCTATGATGGATGAAATAAGCTGTAAGGAAAAATAATAAATTTATAATGTTTATCCTAATAACCCGACGTGGGGAATTCGCCTACAGAAAAATACATTTCAGATAATCTTGAATTGTAGTACAGAGGTCTACTAACTACGTTATAACCTTCTTATGTATAGAGGTGATGTTAGAGGCCGCCGTACCCTTTCGGTACGGGATCCTGAAAATCTACAAGAAGTAGGAATACGGACTGTATATAATATGTCATTACAGGTAGACAGGTTATCACCGACTAAAACCACATGGCAAAACCAAATGAGTCTATTGCAGGGGACCCTACCAAGGAAGCCATCAAGAACCCCTGCAGACACCATCCTCCAGGCGGTTACCCTTACACCCTACCAAATGTTTTTATTAGATATCTGAATAAATATTATTAAATATCTTGCAAATCTGGATTAATTGCAAAACACTGTTTTGAGCTATATATAATCTTAATAGAATAGCTTGGTATTATGACCCTCTCAGTCTATTTTCACTTAACGCGAAACAGTTCGGTTTAATGACGCTTATTTTTGAGATACTTCTCCGGTTTTATTGGCTGTAAGTAAAATCTCTCCAAGAAGTAGTCTGATATGATTGGGTCTAAATAGTGGTCAGATAATCAGAGTATATATATTTATATAGTTAATAAATGACTGTTATTTATTTTATCGGTACGATGTAGTTATTATCGGTTTTTAGTGATGGTTTGAGTTAAAAATGTGCCCGAAAACATGAATTGTTATATTTTTTATTAACTGTATTACTTTTTGTCACTTGATCTATCGATATAATCGAGTTTATACAGTGCTATTCTTATGTTTCGTACATCCTTATATAATGTACTTATACGAACAACTTAAAAAGTGCTTACATTACCATTTAAGAAATACGTTCTGTTCAGTAAATTATTAAAATGTTTAGCCTCTTTCGTGAAATTGTTTAAGAGCCATTTCATCCATTATTGAAAGACTACTTTATCTTTATTTAGTTTATTAAAATAATTAATTTAAAATGCTAAAAACACCTCTGATCAGAGAGGAGGTTTTGGCCTGCTATTATACCACGCTGGCCAGACGGGTTGATATAGGGTTTGTTTCAAGTTTTCCTTCTCTTCACAGTGCTGTAGTTTGCTCCCTTAATCGGCTTTTACGACACCCCCGGGATGAATAGGGGTGGTGACACTCTGTATTCTTAAACTGTCACCACACGGACTGAATGAGTATAAACATACGTTATCGGACACGTCATTATTCCACCTTGACTTACCTAAATTTTTCTTCTAGTTTTAGTCAATTACTGAATTTTATTGCCATTGTTGTGCGAAGTTTAGGCTCTGCGTTATCGGATACTGATAGACACGTTGTCGAGTACTCTTGGTTCGTTGTAACGACCTTGTACAAGAAATACAAGTGTATAGTTATCATAAAGCGCGAATTTAAAGTAGACTCGACCGGATTGAAGGTTTGGAATTGCGGTGAAGAGACGTCATCAATTTAAATGAAGCGATTTAGGAATTGTACAATGAAAAAACAATTTAGTCAGTGGTATTTATATTTATAAAGAATTAACGGTTTTACTCGGGTTTGTATTTCGGCGATGCCCAAAATGGTCTCGTATTTGACGTGTCGGTTTTAGGTGGGTTGACGCGGAAGGTCTTTTCACCCCTTAATAAGGTCGCCCTGATCCCGAAAATGTATAAATATAACAAAACATATATTTTCTCCCAATTCTTAAGTCAATCAAGGAAAACTTTGTCTATCCGTAGTCAATCAAATCTCATCATATCTCACCAATTTAGGTGAAAAATCGTCAGTATCACCTGAAGTAATTAATGGACCCTTTAAGTTCAGCATAGAAAATAACAGATAGATATTACACTAGATTTTGCCCGCGGCTCCGCCCGCATGTATGTCGGTTATCGCGGTAAAAACTAATCTATAGCACTCAGGGACAGTATACCTTTCTAACAGTAAAAAAATTCAAAATCGGAACAGTAGCCTACCGGAGATTACCCCGAACATACAAACTCACAAAGTCTTTATATTATTAGTATAAACTGGCTAGTACCCGAAACTTTGTTCGCGTGGAATTTGAAAAGCGCTGCCTTAGTGGTGCAACTGCAGTTTATGAGGCCTCGGGTTCTATTCCCGCAGCGGGCAAAATTTTATAGGGATTTTCTGAGAGGAAAAATAGCCTAAGTTACTCCTTATATAGACAGCTACCTGGTAGTAAAATATTACCAAAATCGGTCCAGCCATTTCGAAGATTACCCGGCACAAACAGACAGACTTATAGATAGACAGACAAAAAATATTTAAATTCGTCCTTAGGCATAGGTATCGTGTTAGCATGAAAACAACGTATTATTCTGATATTACAAGCAGACACTTCAATTTCATTCATTTGCATAGATTATTTATTTGTATAGATGTAGCATAAATGGCGTATGTTGAAACTAACTATACGATACCCGTATCTTGGTTTTCTCTCTTTATCAAGTCAGCATGCATTTTTTTATTTTTCTACTACGTATTATACAAGAAGTGTTGTAATTACTTTCTACATAGCTAATTTTTGCCCTCCAGTAAGGGGATTTCTCATACTATCAGCTCCCCCCCTCCCTCTCAGTAACCACACAACATATGCCAATACTCCTCGTTCCTAGTTAACACGTAGTAATTCATAAATGTGGTTATAAATCATTTTATGCAAACGGAGACTTAAAAAACAATCGGCACTTATTTGTCTTTATTAACACAGCGCTTGCCATATTATGATATCGACTACGTGGCAGAAACCTGAACCCTCTACTGCCCCTGTTACCAAGCGTGGTAATTTGAAGACGGGAGGGGGGGGGGTCCTCTCTTAAATTGGTCACGTAGCATGGGTACATTCCTTAATGCTACCTTCATAAATATTTGTCTATAACGCAAAAAATACATATTTACAATACAATATCCGTATCTATAGCTTTAAAATGCTATAAAATGTTAAATAGTTTAAATATAAAAGCATAAAAAACCAATATAACACTCGCATTTACCCTATTAGTACCCAAGGTTAGGATCAAATAAGATCTCAACAGTTTGTGATCATGCGAATTATAAGTAAATATGATTATATATATAACATAATCATAATGAAAATAACCTCACACACCACACAAGCGGCCGTCTGATCCCAAACTAGGCAGAGCCTGTACTATGGTAAACAGACCGCTGATAAACATACTTATATATTTCTCAACACAAACATATTATAGATAAATTATATCCAGACAGAACAAATGATCACGCCCATCAGACAATTATTTGTTCTGGGTTGGAATCGAACTCATGACCGCCGGCTTAGCAGTTAGTATCCAATAGACCACACCAGGCCCGTCCATATGGGCAATACTATCCCCTTTTAATTTACAAGCATATTAATAAAATATGCTTGTAAATTAAAAGAAAATCAGCTACATGTCTTATTAAAATGTACATTATACTGCCAATGTCCAATAATGATGTCTTATTGCCCCTGGCTTTTATTTTGTAAATAGTTATGTTTAGTTTGCGACAACTGAGGGCCTAGTGTGAGTTCATTTCACATCAACTTGCTCTCGACGGCGAGCGCGTTTGGTTTTGCGATTTGTGAAGATTTCAGTGCGGGCCATTCGTAACGCCAGCCACGGTCACGGTGACGATCGAGTTGATGTGAAGTAAACTCACACTAGGCCCTCTGATGTAAAGGGTGTCAATGATATAGGTGTTTAAAATATATGTGTTTGTGTGTGTTGTGTGCAGTCGTGCGGCATCTGCACCATGTTCCCGTCGTGCATGTCGATGCTGTCACGGCGACCGGAGCAGTGCGGCCCTCGACCCGGACAGTCGCCCGTCGTACTCAATGTATACGATATGTATTGGACCAACTGGTAATTGTTACATATTTCCTTATTTATACCAATATTATAAAGCTAAAGAGTTTCAAACGAAGTTGTGCCGGTCAGAGAGTAATATCTATACCTTAATTTTTTTGCAATCTCCCTCGGTTACTGTTACCAGTGAAATCTAGTCTGAACACGATAGCGAACTTTTAAAATATCTTAAAGTGAAAATATAATTAATTTATTGACTAATTTTGGAGGGGAGAAAGAGGGGCAGGGCAAAGCTTCTGAACGTGAAAGAACTTTAGATGAACCGTAAATAATACTAATAAATACATTACCATATTGATCGTATATTATTCACAAATAATGTCTCTCAACTTGTGTCTCACACCTGCTTTTTATAAACTGTTCTATACAAATTCATACTATTTACATATACATTTTTATGTGGTCAAACAGCAGCGCGTTTTATAAGTTCTAACAATGCCATCTATTAACTAAACACGAAACAACCTAAATAAAGGTACGTTCTTATTGTAGGTGTTCTGCCTGAACAGATTCCTCCAGAAGTCTCTCTGTTACTATACAAATGGTTTATAGTTCAATGAAATTAAGTCCTTCCTCAGATGTGTTGCGGACTTCAAATATCTGCATATTAGTCTATACAAGTCGTAACTGCCAAGTCTCTCAACAGGTTGAGAGACCAGCTTGTTCTTTGCAATACTTGTTCTCGGTTTTCTTAATACCATTTTTGAAACCGCCTAAAACCGCACGCCGTCTCAGGTACCAGTAGTCGGGGAACCAGGTGTACCCTAGAAAGGAAATCCCTGGTGCCCCGACGTAGCTCGGGCCATCTACGGCGGGTAGACGACCCCCCTGTGTGGGAATCCCCATGTTTCCTTTGTGCTCCCGGAAGGGCGCGCGCGCTTCGCAACGCGCTCGCCGCCACCCCGACCTGATTCTTCTATGGTGACAGATGGCCTCACCTGTCACCCCCAGGCCTGCGCTTATGGAGGACGGAGGTAGTTCTGCGACCTCCGGCGCCTAAGTCGTCTGCGGTACCTGGCCCGTTCCAGTTCCGGGAGAGTTCTAAACCTCTCCCGGTCCCGCTCCGCCATCTCCTTCGCAAGCATAACTTGCTCGCAGAAGGAGACGGCAGAGTTCCACGCACTCTCGCTCCGCACGATAGCCGCAATCAGGTTATCGAGCGAGAGAACTCCCACTCCGATGGCCGCCACGAGGTCTCGCCTCTGCTGCACCCACGCCGGGCATTCTGCCAGCGTGTGGAGCGCCGTGTCCAACGTCCGACCATCGGCCGATCAGACACAGGTGATCCCCGAAACATCCTTTCCCAGTGATCACCTGCGCAGTCGGTATGAGAGGATCCCGTGATCTCTCTCGAGCCAATCCTCCATAACGGGTCTTACCGCCGCGATGACGGGCATAGATCACCTGGCGATAATAACATTAAAACCTCACACATCTCACACACGACCGTCTGATCCCAAACTGTACCATGGTAATCAGACTTCTGCTAAACATACTTATATAATTCTAAATAAATATATATACTATAGATAAAATACACACGGACACAGAACAAAGTATCGTGCTGTGACCGTGACGCAGTCAGGGTCACTACTAGACCAATAGGCCAGTCAAAATACTGAAGTAGGTAGTTGGTGGTTTAATTAATTAAGGTACTAAAATTAATTTAAAAAATGCATATTTCACTTTTTATCTTTATTTCGCAATTATTTTTTAAGTGATACCTCCGCTGTTTTTGGTAGGTATACGGCAGGGGCAGGTGTTGGGGTATTTCACAGTGGTGTACAAGTCCATGGGTCGGAGTGGGCTTACGGCGGTCACCCTTACGCCTTCACCGGTGTCTTCGAGATAACGCCGCGAGACGAGAGGGAACTTGGCGAACAGTTCAGATTCAGGTGTGTTATATATACTACTTCAAAGTGATTTTGCGAAAATGTCCTTGCATCTGTCTATAAGTCGAATGCCATTCTCATATACTTCATTCTCTCCGACACATACACGCAGAGAGTGGGACATCTTCTTAATATTATTTCAAGCAAATTATGATTTGCAGTAAATACTAGGAAGGGCACTAACTATAATTAGAAGTCAAAGTGGCGCTTGCTGCTAGCTAAAATACAGGTTCCAGGGTGAACTAAAGAGTTTAGCGACTGATGCTACCACAACCACAAAATCTGTTTCATGCACCACAAACATATTTCATATGTACGAGTATATGTTGTGTATCGACATAAATATTCATTCATAAAAAAATGTATAATGTTACAAAGGTTTATTTGTTATTCGTATGGCCGTAACTGAATGGTAGGTACATGAACGAATTTGCATAAATTGTGTCACGCAGTTAGCTCATAGCCTGGATGAATACTTATTTATGTAATGCCAAGGTTTAGTACGCCTGAAAGCGGGTATTTAATACAAATTAAGATTTGTGAGTTTGTATATTATGCGTTCTTAAAGCATTTATACATTTAGTAGAGGAGGGGGGGGGCGGGGGCGCAAACAAGTAGACCGGTTACCTGATGGTAAGTACAAGTGCGTGCAACTCAAGAGTCACAAGTGCTTTGCCGCTCTTATAAGTGCCCCCGCAATCAGGCGGAGGGAGGTTTGGGTTCCGGTAACCTCACTCGCTGAACAACGAAAAAAAACTGCTTAAAGGCGGTTTCCTGTAAGGCCGTGGTATAACTCCAGTCAAGCCGGCCCATTTGTGTAACAGCATGGCTCCCCCATGCCAAAAACATACATTTATAAATATTATAATTTATATATTTATAATTTTGTCTATTAAACTAGTTAAACTTATACCAGACGACAAGACTTACAACCATATGCTTGTTAGCGGTTGACGATAAAAGAACTCACGGTAATTGTAAAAGGTAGAGCGCGCTTGCATCGCGCCTACTTTCGCGTTTATTCATTTATTGTCCATAAAACAATAATAATAAACATTTATTTGCGAATATGGGTACAATAGTAAAGTTGTTACAAATATGAATTTCGTTCCTCCATATTCCATCTTGTGGCATTCAAGTATTTCAAGATACTTTTTATATTCAATACTAGCTGAGACCCGCGGTGTTACCCGCGTTTGTTGTTATAACCGCGGGCAACGCCGCGGGGCGAAGCTAGTCTAAAAAAATAGCCTAAGTTACTCCTTACGTCATCAGCTATCTGCCAGTGAATGTCCCGTCGAAATCGGTCCAGCCGTTCCAGAGATTACCCGGAACAAACAGACAGATAGACAGACAAACAAAAATTGTAAAAAATGTTATTTTGGCATATGTACCGTGTAAACATACATATGCATTTAGTAAAAAGCGATTATTTTAATATTACAAACAGACACTCCAATTTGATTTATTTGTATAGATAAGCATACATCGTGTGTTAGTGAACGCTATACAACAATATAGTAGAAAATAATACAGTTAATTCATAAACTCTGTACTAATATTAAATATATCAATAAAATCATTTATTACTGAGATAAAGCTGTCGTCATCACGAAGTTCATCAAAAAATATGCGTTCATTTTGAAAGTTACATTCCATCAGTATATCATGCATAGATAAATCTTTTATGGGCTTGCATTATTTTAATCTTTTTTAATTGTTTTTTTTTTTCAGACAAAGTGTACACATAGGATATACGGACTTCAGCGAAGACGAGGTACGTCGGTTGGTCACAGAGCTCGGGAAACAGTTTCGCGGTGACAGGTGAGTGCGAGTTTATTTCACTTCTACTCGATCGTCACGGTGACCGCGTTCGGCGCTACGATTGGTCCGCACTGAAATCTCCACCAATCGCAACCATAAACGCGCTTGCCGTTGACCAATTGGATATTTACCATAATTCCTTTATTCATTTTTAGGGTTCCGTACCCAAAGGGTAAAACGGGACCCTATTACTAAGACTCCGCTGTCCGTCAGTCAGTCCGTCTGTCTGTCTGTCTGCCATCTGCCAGGCATGAAACGAACCGTCATAGTGAGACAGTAGAAATGTTCACAGATGGTGTATTTCTGATGCCGCTATAACAACAAATACTAAAAACAGATTTAAATAAATATTTAAGTGGGGCTCCCATACAACAGACATGATTTTTTTGACGTTTTTATAGATAATGGTACGGAACCCTTCGTGCGCGAGGCAGACTCGCACTTTGCCGGTTTTTAAGATATACACTTTCATTGTTTAAATTTATCTGTATGTAATTCCTAAGTCCTATATTCTTGTTAATTTTCGTTTACTTTAATTTTGATCTTGCTACTGATCGAATGTGTGTCTGTCTATGTATGCTGTTGGCGTCTCTATCTATACAAATAAATAAAATTGTGCAGTGCTTTTCAAATTCCACCCGAACGGAGTCGCGGGTAGGGTACCAGCTAGTAATAAAAAAAAAATATTGTGTGAATTTGTGTGCACAAGAAAGTAATAGTAGAAGTAATGATATTCTGAGCATACGAGTATAACGCTTAAAGAGTTCGAATCGGTTGTCTTTTTACGTTGTTTTTTTGTGTTTGTCAATACCAATATTTCCTCTTTGTTTTCAGATACCACCTTATGAACAACAATTGCAACCATTTCACATCTGCGTTTTGTTTGGTAAGTTGGTGGTATTTTGATGTTACTTAGTTCTCAAGATTTTTACTCGAATCATATCTGTATCCGTTACATAAAATGGTTCTTTAATAGACTATAAAAACCCAATGTTCCTAGTACTGCCGTTTAAGACTTTCAGATTCAATTAAGAGTTTATTACGTTTGGTTCCGTATACATTTTTAAAACAAATTTATGAATTTCATTGTCAGCATAGCAATCATATTCTATATCATAACTCCACGGCAACTACATTTGAGATTCTAATTAACATTGCCATAATGTCGTATTATAGTCATGAATATAACCACACCGTTCTGTAACAGCTGAATGTGAAATGGTGTTTTCCAGGCGTTGTGTGACCGCGACATCCCTGCGTGGGTGAACCGCCTGGCCTACGTCAGCTCCTGCGTGCCCTTCCTGCAGCGGTGCCTGCCCAAGTAACTAATGTTTAATGATTTGTGACGTCAGAAACTACCACTACTATACGTATAAAATTACTTGCCCCGACTGAGTCATCAAGGCAGACCCTAAACCGCTGAGACTACAAACTTGAAATTATGGCAGATGACGCTTTTTATGTTATAAGCACCAACTAAGAAAGGATTTTTGAAAATTTCACCCCTAAGAGGTAAAATAAGGGATGAACGGTTGTATGGCAGTAAGTCATTTTCAAAATTATTAACACGAAATAATAAATAATGGCGCGAGCGAAGACACGGCCAATAGCTGGTGTACAATGAAATAATAAATAAATCGTGGGTTTGTTGCATGAGCGTTACAGCATTTTTGAAAATTAACCTTTGTGTTATGAACTCATATTATCGTAGTTAGGATAAATAAGATCATCAGATTTAGAATCGTTTTTATACAGCTGTCAACTAATCACAAGTGCATCACCAAGTTTATCACCCAATAAAATACTCTCAACGGCATTTTCAAATAGTTGTAGTTACTACTATTCAAAAGGGTTGCCATAGTAATGTTGACAAGACTACGTATGATAGCGTACGAGTCCTCTTTTATGAGTCTAAATGTAATCTCTCGTAATTAAATATTAACCAGTTCGAATAGAAAGAGGTGTCATAATGTCAAAAAATAAGTAGACCCCCTCACGGAGGCTCAGCGAGAGAACGTCCCTTGCCATGAGTCAGTCAGTAAGAGCTTCGCCCCCCGCAGAGAGTGGCTGACGCCGGCGGCGCTGCAGCAGTCGCTCGCCGCGCACTCGCGCTCCTCCTCGCCCAACACGCCGCAATAGCAGCGTGAGTATGCACACCTACACTCTGTACAAACACACCCACACGCCGCAATAGCAGCGTGAGTATGCACACCTACACTCTGTACAAACACACCCACACGCCGCAATAGCAGCGTGAGTATGCACACCTACACTCTGTACAAACACACCCACACGCCGCAATAGCAGCGTGAGTATGCACACCTACACTCTGTACAAACACACCCACACGCCGCAATAGCAGCGTGAGTATGCACACCTACACTCTGTACAAACACACCCACACGCCGCAATAGCAGCGTGAGTATGCACACCTACACTCTGTAAAAACACACCCACACGCCGCAATAGCAGCGTGAGTATGCACACCTACACTCTGTACAAACACACCCACACGCCGCAATAGCAGCGTGAGTATGCACACCTACACTCAGTACAAACACACCCACACTCCGCAATAGCAGCGTGAGTATGCACACCTACACTCTGTACAAACACACCCACACGCCGCAATAGCAGCGTGAGTATGCACACCTACACTCTGTACAAACACACCCACACTCCGCAATAGCAGCGTGAGTATGCACACCTACACTCTGTACAAACACACCCACACGCCGCAATAGCAGCGTGAGTATGTACACCTACACTCTGTACAAACACACCCACACTCCGCAATAGCAGCGTGAGTATGCACACCTACACTCTGTACAAACACACCCACACGCCGCAATAGCAGCGTGAGTATGCACACCTACACTCTGTACAAACACACCCACACGCCGCTATGGTATTGCGTGGGTGTGTTTAATGCGTCCAGCATTAAACACACCCACGCATATGTACTGTACACGTTGAGACATACACTATGTATACATGCACGCAAAAGCAGCAATGACAACGTGAGTGTTTTTAGTAAACATATTGTAAATAAAATTTATTCTTTCAAGTGTCTAGCAGATACCATAATTTATTTAGTTTTTTAAATTAATATTTGATACAAAAAAAAATATTTTATGTGGTACACTGTCTTTAGCGGTTTTGCACCTATGTCGTTACGGCTGGACGGAGCACCATGTTCGGCGTTGAATTAAAATTATAAAAAATAGAGATAGAGTGCCGGCAGTCGGAACATTTTTCTTGGAAATTTCCTCCTCTTTAAAGATCTTTTTTTCTTAAATGTTAATAATTTTTGTGTTATAAACAAAAAACGATTTAATTTTGCAATTTATTCATGTGCTGATCATGCTTTTGATACATTTTTGTAGACGTCATTCCGAATCGAATGAGCCATCGCTCATATTTTTATGAGCTTTACATCAAGAATTAACATTTTTTTAATCAATTTGTAATGGAAATATATAGTCGAAATATTCTTCTTTTGCGTTTATTTTTTTTTTATTTTATGTGTTAAGAAGTATATACATATATATCTATTAATAATTTTCAACTTACAGAAGATGTACTGCGTTGTTGCAGATAAGCAGTCAGAAGTGTTGTGCGAACTAATACATACTAGGTTTAACGTTAGCTAATATTTAGTTTGGCGCATTGTCGACCATGCTAGGGCCAGGGTCGCTCGGACGTCCAACGTGAAACTTAAAAGAATGATCTACTTATTTTTAGTCGATTATTGTCTATGAATAAAAAAACTGACTGTGATTAAAAAAATACAACATTGGCGAAAATAAAAAATGGCGTCGACGCGACCCTAGTCATTCATTATAACTATCCGACTATATTTCTATTCTATTAAAAGCCGAGATATACCGTCTACACTGGCTAGGGAAACTATATTTTCCTCTGACACATTGATTATTGGGTTTTACATTTTATGCAAAAGTTAATTTTTAAAATGTAAAAAAAAGTTTCTGTAATAAAACAAATGTCTCTTTCGTTAATAATCACAAAATTTATGTAGTTCACGTCTCTTCATTTTATTTGTATTACATTTTACTTATAAGAAATATTTGTTAAATCTAGATATACGTATCTCTTCTCACGTGCCGTCATTTTTACTAATTAATAAGTCTTTTAATTACTTTATACTAAATTAATTATTTAAAAATTCAGCCTCAGCACATGTTATAGGTGTAGGGTATATTTAAAAATTCTGATTTTGTTATTATACACAGTCAGATAAAAGATCTGAAGTTTTTACAGCAATTAGAAACAAAAAAGTGCCCAGAGATTGCTTCTAAATATAGGTAGTATGTTGCGGAGGCTGTAAAAATTATTTAACATATTTTTTTATCAAATTTCACCCTTTTGTTGAAACGTGCGATTTTTTCTTATAATATAACGGTGTGACGGCTGCGCGCGCTCGTGTTAGTGTTGAATATATGCGTAGGTCTTTGTAGTCCGTCCGTCGAGTTATTGAACTGATGTAATTAATACTAAGTACACTAACCTTGATTATTTTAAGCTAGCGTCCGTCTCCGACGCGTCAGGTTACTCTAAGCGTACAAAATATTAAGTAATTATTAATTTTGTATGCTGTTCAATTAAAAATACGGAGACACTTCTGTGTGGATAGTTTGATGCGTTTAAATTTCCTTTAAATTACATTTTTTTGGCGCCGGACATTATTTTATGACACATGTCAAAAACATTAGAGTAATATAATATTTCTGATTTTTCTGGACTTTACTGTTGATTAAAAAATAATAGTTAAAATGTACTTCCCGTGTCGTATTATGTAAGTTTTCTGGATGTCGTATTATGTTCTGAGGAAATATTGTAACTTTAACTTTATATAAGGATCCCATAAAGTCGTGTGATACATAACGATGTTAAGTGCACTTAGTGCTATGTTAAATACAAAAGAGTTATGATACTATATAATGTACTACCGCTGAGGGGTTGTTTAGTCTTATTGTAATGTTATCTTGTGTGGTATTTTTAGGTGTTTACCAGTGTTTTTCAGGATCGCAGCTAAAATTACTTTATTACTTCAAGTATTACGTTTTTAAAAGCTAATTATTGAGTTCAAACTTTAATATTTCATAAACTTCAAGTCCAGGTTCTCAAAATATTATTGCCTCTGGTTAATCTGGTTGTTTCTTTGTCGCTTTTAACTATATTTAATTTACTGCTTTACTAGAACAGTGTGTGTTTGCGTGTGTGGAATTAATCATTTTTCTAGATATATTTTGATGTTTTTATGACATTTTTAAAAATAGATTTTGAAATAATAAATGCATTAGTAAAATGTTGCGAAAGATATATAAAGATATATAAGAAATTACGAAAGAATACATTTAAGTGTAGCTACGATCCTGATGTGTCACAAAAGTGCCATTTGTATAATAATGGGAATTAAGTAAAGTTATCTTATTTTACGTTAATATTGACAAAATGAATTTCTTAATTATAAAATTTTATAGAGTAGCTGCTTCGTTAAATTTAATATGAGCGTAACATGATTATTGTAATATAACCGTATTTTGACAATGCGCCAACGTATAACGTATTTCAAATGGAAACAGTCAGCGTGGCCGCCATTGGGTTTGTTAAACGCGATCGTTCAAAACTTTAAAATATCTGAAGCTCTTCATTGGTTGTTTATTGTTCGCATACAAATAATTATGTTAATTTGTGAAATGACATGCTAAGTTTTGCCGAGTTTCAGTTTCCTTATCTAGGTATAAATTCTTTAGTTTTATTCTTACCGCAAACAATTTGAAACTGAGATTTATAAAAATAGCTGAACAGTGACGATTTTGATATAGTTTCTACTAAGTATATTTTGAAATATTTTGATATAGTTTCTACTAAGTATATTTTGATATAGTTTAGTGTTTGAATGAAGTCAAAATTTATTTTGGTGAAATCCTCCTAGTCATCCAAAATGGTTTTGACTTAAAGCGCAAAATTTATTCTCTCTCCCAAAACAACTCATGAAGGTGCCAGAAGTTCGAAATTATCTAAAGAATGATAAATAATTGTTTAAACAGTTGTAAGGATCAGCAGAAATTACTGTCGTTGCTAAGTGCTCTAGAGATTTATTTATTACGTTAGTGTTGATGTAAGGCGGTTGCGCGGCATGTTGTCTACTTGAAATACGCAAGTATCGTGTAAGTATGGGGACTAACACAAAAATGTGCCACTATTCACCTCAGTGTTTCAAGTTATGACGTTTTTACAAGTTACTAATCACTAGGTTATTGTGGCGCTGCAGTAACAAGCTTTACGGTAATAATTTTAATTAATTAAATGTTTTTTTTTATTAATTTATAACAGTAGAAAATGACAGGAAGTATTTTTATATGAAAAATTTACCATCTCCATTCAATTTTTGTATATAAAATGTTAATATAAAAAAAAAACATTGTTCTTTTTCTACAATAGAAATGTGAAATTTATAACTCCAAAGAATTATAGTATAGTTCGTAAAGGCTTGTTCAAATTATAACCACTGCTGGTGTGTGAATATCATTGAAGCATTTTGCCACTCTCTCGAGTTTTGAGTGAAGTTGGAGCGGTACTGATTTATCCTTATTTTTGTAACGCACAGTTAGTACAAAATAATTTGTTGTTGGTAACATTTAGTTAACTTAACATACACACCACGGCTGTGCTCTCCTTCCTTATGGCATTAATAAATTTAATTACTTTAAAAACTATACAGTTCCTAATTCATGCATGACACTCAGTTTAAATATTGTGGGAATAAGTGGCTCAACCGTTAAACACGTTACTGCAGCGTTTAAAATTATGTAGTTTTTTTGAATTATAAATATGATATGCAAATTAGAGAGTTAACTGTTGCATAACAAAAGAAATATTACTGTTTAAGGTAGAAATATGTACGATTATAAACCTTAAAAGATGTACCTATATTAACTTCTGTTGATTTCTTCGTATGTAAGGGCAATTGTACTTGAAAAAATATTTATACCGTAATTTTTTACCGCAAACAATATCGCAGCGCAGACTACGAGGTTTGTTTTCCTAGAAATGTCTAAGATTAAAGGTATATCGAGCCATTCTATAAAAAAACGAGTGTGCTTTAGACCACA